TCCCCGGTGCATCCCCAGCTCCTCCACTTTGGCACTGGGGTGAGCCCTGGCCAGCTAGGGCCAGGGCAGAGGGAAGGATGAGTTCCCTTAAGACCTGCAGGAGGGAGGTGTTTGCTGCCTCACTTGAAAGGCAGAGGTGGTGTGTATGTTAGAGGCACTCAGCTTGACAGTGGAAGGAAGACCAACAAAAGAGCAGGTTGCTCAGTTTTTTTATTTCATAATTCAGCAGCTAGAGTAATGTCTGGGGGAAGAGGGGATAATGTGAATTGTTTCCATATAGGAACAGTAAAAGTGCTACCAAGAGTCTGGTCTTATGCAGCCTTTTAGGGGTAAAAAATCGGTGATGAAGATTGAGGCTCAAGCTGTGGTCAATGGTTGTACGACACTGAAAAAAGTTTTAGGATACTCAGGGAGATGTAAGCCTTCCATGGGGGACAAAGAAGTTAGGTCCCTGCAGATCAAGTAGAGCAAGTCTCCTGTGTGACTGATACCACCGATGGTATCAGTCATACAGATGTGTGACTGATATTGTTTCTCAGCCCAGAAAGATAATGCTTAAATGCAAAGAGAGCCTTTGGGGAAAATAGTATTTGCTTTACTATAGGTCCACTATAAGTATGCAAAAGAGGGTGGCAGTTGCAGAGTAGGGTTAATTTTATATTTTTAGCACAGAGTAAAGCAGTGTAGGTTGGGTGCAGCCTTAGGCGGTGCAGACCGATCTGGAAATACTTGTGTCTGTGCAAAAAGGAATCTTTAAATAAGGTATGAAAGTAGAAATATTTACAAAGCAAATATATTGCTAAAAGAAACCCTTCTCCTGCTGTACTTGGGGCTTCCTGGAGAAGGGAGAGGGTCTAAAAAATGCTAAGCACATTTAGGTACCACGGCAAACAAAAGAAGGAGAATTATGTATGACATATCCACCATGCAGGCATCATATAGGTGAGAACTGAAGAGAATCATTTACAAAAAAAAAAAAAGTTAAATGGATTCAAAAGCTATGAGGCTCAAATTTCCTATTTTCTGAAGTTCCATACAAACTGACTTTCAGGAACATAGAATTTTTTCACAAGTTCCACCTGGCAAAAGTATTGATGAACTCCTTTTGATCATGACTTAACTAGAAACAAAATTTAAAAAAAAATAGATAAACAAAAGACAAATTAAAGTGGTCCTTTCCAAAAGGATGATGATACATATTTGTTCATTAGCATATTGGGAGCTATGCCTTGTCACTGAGGACTTGAGACTTGAATTTACTGGGGAGTTACTGTTTTGAAAAGAACCCTGATACTTAAAATACAATATTTTGCCTCAGTAACTACTTGTACAAGACACTTTTAATAATAGTTCCTTTACAGTTGCTTATATTTACATATATATATGCAAGAATATTCAATTATCCTCAACTCTGTGTGTAAATTATTGCTGTCAACTCTCTGCTTGCCAAGAACGTACAAGCATTATGCCATACACCCTACCTATAACTGTGAAACACTATTTACATTAGGGGATGACAAGAGGCATTTGTCAGGACAGAAGATCAAAAACACTTGTAACAGTGTTGGACTAAATGAAGGATCCCCCTTTAACAGGTACATTCCTCAGAAATCTTGTCTGTCTCATGTAAGAACATAAACAGAGGCAGAAGAGATGTTGGAAGCCCATATATCAGAAGAAAATTTTTAAATATTCCCAGGAGGGACCAGTAGTGTGTGACAAAGGAGACTATCTCAGCACAGGAAATGGCATGGATAGACAATGGTTTCCTTTTTTTCACTTAACTATGGTGAGTAGATTAAAAAAAAAAAAAAAATCAATCATTTTATACTCAAGAGTCTACCAAGGGAAAAACCTAAATATTTTTTAACACAGTTTTGTAGACCAAAGAAATTCTACTTTTTAATTCCAGTTCACCCCTGTCAGGTCCCTAACAGCTCTTTGTGGTGTTGCTCTCCCATTTTTATTACTGCTCTTTGGAGACAGAAATGCTGAGTGATTGTGTGTGGGACTTGTAGAAAAGCAGGCAAGACTTCCATAAAAATCCTGACACAAGCAACTGAGCTGAGCAGAACACTCTAAGTTGGAGTTGTGGTGTGAGGAAGACAGGGCAAAGCTACCGTAACTCCTCCAGGCTTTTAGCCAGACTACGCCTCAGTGCAGCCTTAATATAAAACACCTCTTCATCTTTGGATGTGTATGGATTGTGCAGTTCTGAGTATTTATTGCAAAATCCATTGTGTGACAGCAGAGTTTACTTATACAAAACCATGTACACTGCACTGTGGTGGGTTGATCCTGACTTGCCAAGTTGCTCTAGCACTCTTCAGCAGGATGGGATGGGAGAAAATAAGACGGAAAAAACACATGAATCAACATAAAGGCAGTTGAATAAAGCAAAGACTGTGTATGGAAGCCAAGGAAAACATATTTACTCTCTGTTTCCCATTAGCAGACAATGTCCAGCCACTTCCCAGGAAGCCGTTGCTTTGGAAGACCAATGTGGTAACAAATGCCCTCTCTCCCCACCCTTGCCTCTCCTTTTTCTTGTGCAGATGTCATACGGTATGGAATATCCCTTTGGACAGTTTGGGTCAGCTGATCTGGCTATGTCCTGTCCCAAGATCTTGCCCACCCTCAGCCCACTGGTGAGGGGAATGCTGGAGATATGGCTGTGATGCTGTCCCAGCAAACACCAATGCATTACCAACTCCTTTCCAGCTACCAGTACAAACCACAGCACTGAAGGCTGCTGTGGGGAAAATTAACTTCACCTCAGCCAGACCCATGGGCCCAAAAGGCATATAAACTTGGGGAGGTAGCAATTGAAACAGACAGTAGATTATTCAGAACAAGTAGGGAAATGGTGTGTAAGAAAGTCAGCAACACTTGTTATATCCACAGGCCCATCAGAACAGGAATTCAGTGTCAGCTGCTTGGTGCCATAACACTGCTTCAGAGAGTATAGGATTCCAACACTTGAGATGCTCTGTGCAAAGCACAATCAAACACAGGGTCTGGTAACCTGAACATGGGAATTACTCCCCTTCATCCTGCAGAAGTGAGAGCTGTAAAACGTAATGATAGCAATATCAAGCAAACATTAACTATTCCAGCAGTGATTATTATCGCAAATACCAAGATATTTATCTAATTATGGTTAATGTATAAACAGAATTACATCTCTTATGAGTCCTCTGGGCATGCCTTTCTGCCTTCATCTGGAATGGAGGTTGTTGGAGTGTTTTGTAGTAGCTTTGAGCGCTTTCTCCAAAATTTCACGTGTTACCAGCACCTGCTATGACAGTCATGAGCACAGACAAAAGAGATTTCCAGCAGCTCATAAGAAATTTGCCTGCAAAAGCCACATTAGTACAGGTCAGTGGGTCAGCAACCAGAAGCCACCAATCTAAATTCATTGAAGAGGACTGAATGGCTTTCCTTATATAATAGATATTTATATAATATTTGGTTACCCCTTTAAAAATGCTTTTGTAATTGTAGTTAGTAAAATTATTAAACTTTGTCCAAATGATAACTGATTTTCTCTTCTTTTAAAAATATTGCTTATTAGAGGGTGTCCAAAGGTGGCAACAAAGACGGTGGAGTGTCTGGAGGCCTTATGAGGAGTGACTGAGGTCAGTTGACAGCCTGGAGGAGACGGAGGGGAAACCTCATTGAGATCTTCAACATTGTCACAAGGGGAAGCAGAAGCTCAGCTACTGATTTCTTCTCCCTGGTGACCAGTGACAGGACTCAAGGAAATAACACTAAGTTGAGTCAGGAGAGATTTAGGTTAGATGAGGAGAAGGTTTTTCACCCAGAGGCTGGTTGAGCACTGGAACAACCTCCCTAGGGAAGTGGTCACATCACCAAGCTTGAGAAAGTTTCAGAAGTCTTTGGACAATACTCTTGAGCACATGGTGTGTCTCTTGAGGTGTTTTGTGCAGGGCCAGGAGTTGGACTGGATGATCCTGATGAGTCCCTTCCCACTCAGCCTATTCTATATTTGGTCTGAGCTGTCTGAGCACAGATTAAGAGTTGATTTTGTGTCCAAATCCTTCAGAATTCTGGAGCCTTCAGTTCATGATGAATGTGGGGATCTTCTTAATATTGAGGGGTACTGAAATGTTTGGAAAAAGGCCATACAAGATTTTTTTTCTTTATCGGAAATGGTGTGGCCAGCAGGACTAGAGCAGTGATCGTCCCCCTCTGCTCACACTGGTGAAGTTGCACAATGAATCCTGTGTTCAGTTTTGGGCTCTTTACAGCAAGAAGGACATTGAGGTGCAGAAGTGTGTCCAGAAAAGGGCAGTGCAGCTGATCAAGGGTCTGGAGCATAAGTCCTGTAAGGAGCATCCGAGGGAGTGTTCAGCCTGGAGAAAAGGAGGCTCAAGAGGGCCATTATCACTTTGTACAACTGCTTGAAAAGAGGATGTAGCCAGGCGGGAGTTGGTCTCTTCTCCCAGGAAACAAGTGATAGGGTGAGAGGAAATGGCCTGAACTTGCACCAGAGGAGATTTAGGTTGGATATTAGGAAAAATTTCTTCACGGAACGGGTTGTCAATCACTGGCACAGGCTGCACGGAGAAATGGTGGGGTCACCATTGCAGGGGCGGATTTAAAAGACGTTAACATGTGGCACTTCAGGACTTCGCTTAGTGCTGTACTTAGCAGTGCTATATTAAAGGGTGGACTTGAAGATCTCAGAGGTCTTTCCCAACCATTCCAATCTGGGATTTCCCAATCGCAGAACTGTTTCTGCGACTGACTCAGTGACTCAGTGACTCAGTGAATGCGGCTGTTGCGGGCCGCAGCGGCGGCCATGGCGGCCAGGCAGTCCCCGCGTCCCCACGGCAACGCACAAAGCCTCGGCGCGCGTGCCCTCCCCCGGCCGCGAGCGGCGCTCTCGCGAGACTTGGTGCGGCGCGGCGCGGCGAGGCCGAGGCGCTCGGGGCCCGTTTCAAACCGGCGGTCGCTGGGCCGCGGCCCGGCACGAGATGGCGGAGACCGACAGGGCGGAGGCGGCCGCGCCGCGCCGAGCCGAGGAGGCGGTCGGCCAAGCGCCACAGCCGCCGCCGCAGCAACAGCAGCAGCCGGCACCGCAACAACAGACGCCGCAACAGCCGCCGCAGGTAGAGGAGGCGGCGGCGGCGGCGGCGGCGGCGGCCGCAGCACCCGGTAGCGGCGCGGGCAGCGCAAATGGCGTCAAAATGTGTGTGAGGGCAGGGCCGGGAGGGCGGCGGGGGCAGCGGGGCCGGGGGTGCGGCGGGAGGAGGTGGCCGGACCCCCCCCACCCCCAAGGCTCCTCCTCCGTGGGGTCGGGGCAAGGCCGGGGTCGGGGCGGTGGCTCGGGGAGGCCGCGGCCTGGGCACGGGGCAGGTGGCGGTTCTTGGTCAGCGGCCGCTGAGGGCTGTCCCGGCGAGGCCGCCCGGCAGGGCTGGACCCCGAGCCCCGGGCTCTGGTACCTGGCGGACCGGTTCCCATGGGGTGCTCTTCCAGGAGTGTTCCGCATCGCTTCTGGTGCCGTTTACGTTTCCACTTCTTGCCGAAACGATGTTATTTGTAAAGCCATTGAATTAGTCTTTGTTTACGTGAGAATGGTCAGACAGCCCTAGAATAATTTACTTTCTAAAAGCGAACTCCGCTCATGCATGCACGAAGTTTTCTTGGAAGCTGTAACGTTTTCATACAGGGAATATGTAAAATTATATAGTAGTTCTAAAAGGAATTTAATATAAGGGAGCTGGAACTACCAGCTCTCTGGAACAATACCATGAGTAACTTTATGTGTGTGGTTGTTCTTGATGTCAGGCTTTGAGGATTGTCACTCTGCGTGAACTAGGTTTTGGGCTCAGATCATTGGAATTTCAATATCTCTTCCAATCTCATTCAGATCTTGGAGGGAAAATATATTTACAGTAGACCCACTGCTAAAGTACATCAAAACTATTGGTGTCTGTGAAGTTTTGACATGTTCTAAGCAGCCCTGCTCTAACACAGTTGTATTTAAAAAATGTATGTGGGATCATCTTCAATATAAAGCTGGAGGAATAAAGATGTACTTCATGCCTTTACTTGACTCCCTGTAAAATTTAGTTTAATTTACAAGCTATAAATTCCACTTTACTGTAAAATAGAATTTGTGGATATGTTTTTTCCCCCCTAGTCTGGCCCTCAGCTTCCAAACTGTGCAGATTAGAATTGAATTTTCACAGTATGATAGTCACCCTTTTGCCCCTTTTAGGTGTATAAATTTTATTGCCTTTTGAGGTTGCTGATGTTGAAATGAGGTATTTTCTCTGTATCCCTCCTGTCAACAATATATTTTCCCTCCGAAACCTCACAAGCAAATGAAAAATCCCAGTCATTCTGCATGGTAGAAGTCACAACTTGAAGTTAGAAAGTAATGGGGGGCTCTTGGTAACAGAGATACAAATCTTATTCTTTCACATGCAGTTTCTAATCTGCCCCCAAACGGGTGTACAAAGGATTAAGCTGTCAGTCTGTAGGTTAAATATATTAAAAAAAAAAAAAAAGTATTTCATTAACCTGGTTTGCTTAGCAGTCATTAAACTGGACAGGAATCCTGGCTCAGTTTGCACACTTCCTAAGTTTTTTGTATTGGTATTGGGCAGTGGAACTGTTCAGCACAACAAAGCTTTAGAGAGCCATATGCTTTGGAATCACATGTTGTGAACTTCTTCCATTTCGGTCTGCTTATCTTACTATGGACACTTGTGAGGAGAGAAATTAGTTTTAAAAAATCAAGTTTGAGGGCTTTCAGGTTGATGTATCTTGTGCTTATTATTTTTAGGCTTCTAGTTTTGTATGTGGAAGGCTTGTCTTTTGTCTTTAAAACTTTATGGAAAATTCAAAAGTTTTTTTTTTGTTTTGTTTTGTTTTTTGTTGGTTTTTTTTTTCCCCAAAAGGGATAATTGGTCTTTCAAATCAATGAGCATATGCACTTTTTTTTTTAAGAACTAATTGTAGACAATTTTTTTCCCAGTCCTAAGAATGGTGATGGTCTGTGATTTCACAGGCAAATATTAATTTAATGTGTGAAATGTGTAGCTCATACAAAAGGTAAAGATTATAAATTACTATTGTTTTTCCCCCATGAAAATGTCAGTTCATAATTTCTGAATCTGTCTTCTCTGTGGTCTGTAGGTGACTAATGTAAATTACTTTGAATGTATTATTTGACTGAAATTATTTTTAATATTCAAGGAGGAGGGTAAGAGTTTTAAAAGGATCTCTGCCTCTGGCCTGTTCACTGACCTTTGTTGGTTTTGGCAGATGAGTTTTGCAAGAAAGATTGTTTCTTTAATTAATCCTCTATTTTCAGCAGCCTGGCTGTGATTCCCAGACCAAGTGCAGTGTCGCTTTGTTTCCCAGATTTAGGAGTTTATGCCAGGCTTGTATCTTCTTTGCTCTTGACTGATTTATACAGCCAGGTTTTTCAGAGCCTTTGGATTCCATATTTGGAGACCTGTCTCGTCCTGTACACTACATTGAGCACCAAGGGGCTGTTTCATAATCCTTTAAGCAGGAAAGAGCTTAAAAGGCTGAAGAGAATCCATTGCTCTAATCCTAAAACTTAAGGAAGAACTCAGATTTTTATTAGATGTCTTGTTGGACAGGGGATAGTTTTGCATTTGCAAACAGAATTGGATTGGAAGGAAATAATCTGACTGGAAGACCTGATACTCTGCTCTTTGCCTCCTTCCTGAATCCCTCCAGTTCCTGCATTGTTCCCTTCATTTCACTTCATTACACAGCCACACAAGAATTACGTTTTCCCACAGACACAGGATGGTGTGGAGGAGGGATGATGCAGAGGGACGTTGGAGGATGCCTGAACCAGATAGCAAGTTGTTGACTTGACATGTTTTAAATTTTACAAATACTTGCCCCACGGGAGTATCCATGCATTTTCCAGTTGCTAATCCACTCTTAATCCGCATATAAACACAAGGACTGTGAAGTTAATACCATATGAGTATTTCAAAATTGGGGAAAAAGTCATGGGAGGAATATGGATGTGTTTGAACGTACTCTTCTCTGAAAAGTTCCCAAGCTTGAGTAGATAATACATTTAGCTTCATGAAAAGCTCCTTGCATGTGCTTTTGAGTGCAGGACTGCTATTTACTCACTGTTTTGTTAACAAAAGTGCAGAGAGCTGAAAATTTGTCAGTTAATCAAAATCACTGGTTTTGCCATATGTTGTAGTTGTAAAACCGAAATGCCTGAAACCTTCCAAAGTGTCTAAATGAGATAAAAACTAAACTGTCTGAAATGTGGGAAATAGAGTAAAGATTAATTTAAGAAGGAAGGTTCACAATCATTCACTTCTGTCAGTCCTGTAGGACATTACCTTCTAATTGTTCTAACTCAAGATGCTAATTCTGTCTTTTTAAAATACATGTTTCTGTAAAAGTACTTTTAAAGTTTCTCTTTAAGTAGACAGTGATGTGTAGTTAAAGTTGCTAAGTAGCATCTGTTTAGTGGATCACATTTGTGTGGCTTTATTCAGTGGATTCTCTCAGTTCAGCAGTTCTTCTTTTTAAAAGTAACAATTCAAGCACCTTGAGCCTCTTAGCATGCTAAATGACCTTGTGGTAGTAATGATATCAGGAATGCTGAAGAGCTACAGATATTTCTTCTAATTCTGTTAAAAGTGTATGGTCTTATTGACCCTGAGATTTGGCCTGCCTTAAAAGAGAAGCAGCCAGTTTTCTTGTGTTTTCATCTAAAAAATAAAAATATTTTAAAAGGAGAATTTTGGTGCTGTTGGTGAAGATTTGAAAGACAAAGGGCTGGGCATCTGTTTTGTTGTTTTTAGTGGATAATACCTAGTTATTTAATTAGTCCTAGATTCATAGCATGGCTTAATACAGCTGTTTCCTTTGTGTTTAGAAAGTTTTCAACTTCTAGTAGTGTTAAGCAGTGAAACTGAAAAAAAATATTTGTTGTTCTTAGTTAAATTTTAATTTCTGTCTAACAGTAGTCTGGCACAAATTGTGAATAAAAATTATTTATGAGGTAGGTAGAACATAATTTGATATAAAACCTATTGGAGTTGATTTTGATATATTATTACTCCATTGAATGAAGCATCCTGAGCTGTTTCAACTCTCAAGCTTAGACTATTTCTACTCCCACTTCTGTGGTGAATATCCTGTAACTTGTCCAAGTGAGGTGTGAAAATTACCAAGGCACTAATGCATGGGTACTATAGTTAATTTTTCACTCTTTCTGTTTTTGTCTTCGTGGTAGTTTCATAGTTCCATCTTTTAGAGTCTTGACAGACAGGATGTGCTGGCACAGGTTGTCCAGAGCAGTGGTTGCCCCATCCCTGGAAGTGTTAAAAGTGGGATGAAGCCCTGAGTAAGGTGATCTAGTGAAAGGTGTCTCTGCCCATGGCAGGAGGCTTGGAATTAGATGATCTTTAAAGTCCCTTCCAACCCAAACCATTCTAGGATTCTATGATTCTGTGAAGTGGAATGTAAGTGAATTAGTAAGATACACCTTCTTTACTTAATATTGTAACGTTTTTTTGTTCTTGATTAAACAGTGTATTTTGAAATTGCTCTGGTAGCATGATTTCCTAATTTTAAAAGCAGTGTTTGACATCCTGGGAATTCCAATAGCATAGCAAATACTCAATTATATAGGTAGGAGGTGGGGTAGGCTAATGACCCAACAGAAGACTAATAGTGTTTTTGTTTGGATTTTTGTTTTTTAATGTAGGGATAATGATGAGACAGCAAAAGAAGGGAAAGCACCTGTGAAAGAGAAGTTCGTTGCAAAAGCGAAGGCAATCCCTTCTCTTGGAAACAAGAATAGATTCCACCCCTATGCAAAGGAGAAGAATGCAGGCTCTGGGGACAAGAAGGCTGTTAATCGCAATAGAGTTTTTATTAGCAACATCCCGTATGACATGAAATGGCAAGCTATTAAAGACCTGATGAGAGAGAAAGGTAACTTACTGCTTGTAATACACTTCACACAGAAACCGATAGGGCTTAAATGCAACCGATGTGTCCTTTGAGCCACACAGATTTGATTTGACTTTTTTTGTTTTGGCCTTTACTTGGTACATCTATCTCCCTTCCCCCTCTTTCATCCGAGACAATTGCATTGCAGGGTAGGCTGGGTAAATGAAGTGCTCACAATCTTCTGCCATTCTGGTGTGACAGTAGAGAGTATATGCATGACCTCATGGGTTCTTAAAGAGATTGTGTTTTGTCTAGTTGTAGTTCTTGTAGATTTTTTTTTCTCTAAGGGCTATTGTATTTAAGCAACACATGAAGTGTGTTAACCTGAATAATAAGGGATGTCTTTCAAAAGTTGTTTTGTATTTCTTTGGTGGAATCTGGCTGTGGCATTAACTTTGTCTGCATTGTCACTACTGCCATGACTGTTTGTCTGGAGCTTTGTATTAAAAGCTTGTTACTATTGTTGCAGTTCTGATAGAGAAATCTGACTACCCCAAAAATTTATTTTAAATTTGGGGTAAAATAATGATAATATATAGATTTTGTAAAAAGTTAGTTCTGTGTTTTTCTTGAAAAATTGATTCTTCAAAAGTAATGCAAAGCACACTTGGCTTTTAGGCTGTGAAAAATGCCAGACCCCCCCTTCTGTAACTGCTGGTTTATCTGTTGTAAGGTGACGTGACTATTTGATGCTTTATTTACTTAAACTTCCTACCTTAGAAAGTGAGTCGCTTGCTGTGAAATATTTGATGTGTAAATTTGGTTATTATTGAAGGCAAACTTTTGATTGAAGATACTCAGGTAGAAAGTCACCTTAAAACAGGTGTTGTGAGTAGGATGATAACTGCAACACTTTTCAGTGAACGTTGACGTTTCATTTGTTAGGTTAAGGGACTGTGTATATCTGAATTTGTTCACCAACTATATCATACTGGCCAAAATATGATCTGTAGTATGAATTAGGTTAAATATAGTTGTTTGTTTTTAGCTTTTGAGAATGTGGCTGCTGCATATTTCTGAAAACTAGCTAAATTATATAGCCATTGACAGGAGGTATGTTGGTCTGGTTTTGATTGTTGGTGAATAATAGGTGATTCTCTGTAGACTTGTGCACAGGGGCACAGTAAAGAAAGATACTGGTGTTTAAATGCATTGTCTCTTGGTATTTTCCCTTTGTATGTCTTATGTAGTTGGTGAGGTTACATACGTGGAGCTGTTTAAGGATGCTGAAGGAAAATCAAGGGTAAGTGCCGTGGGCAACAATCTGCTAGAGGTGTAAAAGTTCCTCAGCAGTTTTATTTTTGTATAATACCTGTACCAGTTATTGGAAAGTAAGTTTCATTTTTACACTGATTTTCATTAAGGTAGCCTTGAGGATTCTGTATTAGAAGTAGTCTGACACCTTCATGCAACTCACACTAGCTGGTTGTAAGGGCAAAGTTCTTCTCTTAATGTTAACAAATGGCATTTACTTAATTCTTCTTTTTTAGCCAACACCTTTGTCTTGGTATAAATTGTTTCATATAAAGGATGTTCAATAAACCAATCATTTTATTTAAATTTTGTTAGTGTAGTGTGCTCTTCTTGGGGCCAATAAGTATAAAATGTTAGCTAAGAGTATACTGGGTGAAGTGCCTGATTTCACAGCTTTGCAGGATTGGTACTTTTAAACACTGGCTTAATGTATTTATTTTCTTAAAACTAAATGGGTGCAGATGGTTGGTAGCCAACGGAGTGCCTGCAGTGAGGCACTAATAGTGAAGATTGTTTAAAGTTCCTCTGTCTTCTTAATAATAGTCAAATGTTTGGCCAATAGCAGCTCCAAACCTGCAGTGAGAACACAAGAAATGCAGGTTTGAGTCTTAACTGAGGTCGTATCAATTGTTGTAAATTACTTTCTTTAATACTTGTTAAAACTAAAACATGCTGTCAAGCTTTGCTGTACTTAAAGAAATCCTCAACTCTTTGCTTTATTAGAAGGATGCTGGTGTAGTCAATAAGGTTATTTTCTTATAAGGTAATTTTTTCAATTATGCTGTAGTACTGAAGAGGTATGGAGATTGCTTTTTCACTGTAGTGGTGTACTTGATGTAGGTAGATTTGAATTTTGTAGTTAGTGGACAGCTTTTAATGACATGATGAGTGTCTTGATTGGTTTTTGGTTATGTTTTGGGGTTATTTTCTTTTCACCCTTTCCCTCCCACCTCCTCTTCCCAGTTGTCTTTACATGGATCTGTGTGGCATTTTTCCAATTCTGGTTTGACTTAAAATGTGTAAGAGAAAATGTATTCTCTTGCATTTGAATGGTATGTATGCTGTGAAAGTAGGAGAAATTCAGATTGGCTACCACTAAAGAGAATATATTATGAATTTTGAAGCTGAAAATAACTTGTGTAGTTACTTAACAGTGAGCTGGGATCTTTCTTGCTCTATCATATGTGCTGACTGACTTCTTGTTTTTTTGCTTGTTTTCTCTTTACATATGATGACAAATCTCGTGGATATAGGGTTGTGGGTAAGTTTCTTTTTTTATGTGTGTAGAAGCACACTGCTATCCAAACATTCTATTAGTTTTGGCATGTTAAACTTTATTTTAATGCTCTAAATGTTTTGATCTCTTTCTAAGTGTGGTTGAATTCAAAGATGAAGAATTTGTTAAGAAGGCATTAGACACTATGAACAAATATGATCTTAGTGGAAGACCCCTGAATATTAAAGAGGTATGTTTATTGCTGCTGAATTTGAAACAGTGAAGATACTAAAGCTACTGTGATGACCATACAGTGTTTTGAGAATCTGAGATGTATAATTTTCAGTTTCATTTTTTGTGAAATTTTCTTAATGGGCTGAACTGCCTGTTGGCTTGCAGGAGCTTGGATACTATGCCAAGTAAACTGATAAAAAGCATGTCCTAAAGTCATAATAATGGAATGCTGTTTTTTGTTAAAACAACTTGACTTCATACTCTTACCTTAGTGTCATCAGGTCTTTTCCAATCTAAGTAATTCTATGTTTACATTACTTACCTGCTTCAAAATACGACACAGAATGAGCTAATCATTAGACCACTACATATGTGCAAAAATAGGGATGGAAATAGAGAAGTTGTGCTCTCTGGAAAGTGAAATAATATCAACTTTTCTATTGTAGTGCTGTAGTGTATGATGGTTTCTGATGCAGTTCTTCCTGTCCTGTTACAATTTTAATAATGGTATTAATAAATAATACAAAACCACCACCTAATTAAATTAATTCAGTTCTTGGAGGAAAGTGCTAGGCTGACAGTCCTTTAGCTTGAAATCTTTTCTACTTGTCCATAGGCTAGGTACAGCATGTGAAGTGGCAGTGCACGCTTCCTCAACAAGTGCTTTGCCAATATGCCTCAACCTCATCTGAAAGGACCCACCTCTAGAGGTGAGGGAATTGGGTCTCCGTGCTAATCCAGTTCATGATCCCTCTGACATGGACAAGCATATTTATTAGTTGATAATTTTGATGGATTTGTGCCGAATTTCAAATACTACCATTTTGTTTGTTGCCAGGCCTGTTGTTGATGGTTAAGTGGCTTTGTTTTTGCCCATGTTTCAGGATCCTGAAGGGGAACATGCTCGCAGAGCACTACAGCGTGGAGGAGGGCAGTTTCCAGGAGCACATGGACCTGATGCGGCACCTGGAATGATGAATTTACCACCTTCTATTCTCAATAATCCAAACATTCCTCCTGAGGTTATCAGTAATTTGCAAGCAGGCAGGCTTGGATCCACGATTTTTGTTGCCAATGTAAGCTGAAAACTGTATTTTATAACCTTAATGTTTGATCTTTTTAAGACATCTTGTACTTGTGTAGTTCAATTTTAATATAAAGAGGGGGTTGGAAATAGTTCATAGTTAGTATATTAAATTGAAAATCTTGGGTATGTGTTCATATTTTGGACATGGAAAGATGCATTAAACTCTTGAGACTGACATGCACTACTAATTATTGCAGTCATCTGTTGATTCAAAAATATTTTATAAATTTTTTCACTATTTACAATTGCATTTTTAAAAATTAAATATGTACTTCATATTTATCTTGCTAGTTTCTTTAGACTAACACAATAAAGTTCCAACAAATACAGTGGTTCAAGTTCTTTATTAGCACAAAAGACTGCTGTATGTATATGAGGTCTTGTGGAATTACAGCTGCTCTTCTCAAGAACCAACTCAATGTTAGTATGTTAATTAAAGTAAAATACATGTACATAGAATAAATTGTTGACTTTTTGGACTTTGACACAATGTGTGTATATTACAAAATCTCAACTTTTTACAATTATCAAGCATTTTGTCAATGAAGAGTTAACAGCAATGCAGAAAATCTCTGCCAAATGTGATGGCAGAACAGAGAAGTGCACTGAAATCACTGATGTATTTCTGTGTTTAAGCTTGACTTCAAAGTTGGCTGGAAGAAACTGAAGGAGGTCTTCAGCATTGCTGGAACTGTGAAGCGTGCAGACATCAAAGAAGATAAAGATGGCAAGAGTCGAGGAATGGGAACAGTTACTTTTGAACAAGCAATTGAAGCTGTTCAAGCGATATGTATCCTTGGTTTTGAAAAATAATCGATCATATATTGATTAGTCTTTAATGGTTCTGACAAAGTAGTTTTGCAAATGGTGCTTATTTGCATTATATGCCTTATAGCTACCATATAGGGACTAGAGTGTCTAAATTCTAAAAGTTCCTCATGATGTTGAACAAAATTAAAATACCTAGCAGTGTGACAATTGTGAAACTAATGTCCTTAACAGCTTGTATTGCATCTTCTGGCCCTTGAATTTGGTTTCTAAAGATAAGGTAGGGGAAGATAAGACTCAGAGTAATTGTACAGAAATATAATACTTTATTATAGTGATTCTTCAGAAATAGTTAAATTGCCTTCTTAAGATTCCTTGACTTGCATTTCTTCAGCTATGTTCAATGGACAATTCCTGTTTGACAGACCCATGCATGTAAAAATGGTAATTTGCTTTCATTTCTTTCTACTTTATATGTCTTTGCCAAAACACTGAAAGGATCATAGCATAGCATCCTTGTTGTTTTATCAGGATGACAAATCAGTTCCTCATGAAGACTTCCGTGTTGTGGACAGCAAAAGTTCACAATTACCTCGTAAGTGCACATTTTGTTTTCTACTCCTTGCACTTAGTACATGGTGATCCATGTTTTGGCACAGTTTAGTAATACTTTTGCTTACTGTGGTCTCTGTGATACAGAGGAAGGTCTCTCTTCTGATCATACTTATATTTTTTTGGTTTTTGAGGTGGTCTTGGTGGCATTGGTATGGGACTTGGACCAGGTGGACAGCCCATCAGTGCAACACAGCTGAGCATGGGTGGTGGAATGGGGAGCATGGGTCCAGGAGGTAAATCCATATTCTTTATTTTTAAGTTATACAGAGCTTGTTTAAAAATTTTGAAGTTTAAAATTGTCATTTCTGTGTTTGGAAAAATGACAGACTTTTGACAAAGCAAGCCTTGTGTAGTGTGTTTTAGAGATTTTAACTCTCTCTAACTTAGAAAAAATCCATTAGGGTGTACTAAGTGTTGTTTATCTTTTTGGTTTAAAGGTATGGGAATAGACGGCCCAGGATTTGGTGGAATGAGTAGAATGGGAGGCGGTACGTGTGATAAAGTTTTTTTCATTAAATATTTCTTTAATACTGTATAGAAAACACTTTTCCTTTTTTACAGGACTTCCTGGATTTCGTGGAATGGAAGGAATGCCTAACATGGGAGGATTTGGAGTCAACCGAATGGGAGGTACTTGAACACCGTTCCTGTACACCTACTAGTTTGCTAATATTTATTTATTAAAAGCTCTCCAGTTAGGGGTGGGTAATATAGATGAGTTCAAAGGAAGTAGTTTCATGACAAGGCCTAGGAACTGGTGGGAGAGTTGAGCGTGCAATAGGTGCCTCTGATGCATGCATTAGATTCACTTCTATTTAAACAAGCAGCTGTGAAACAAGTGTTGTAGGAGCATCAACTTATAAGTAAATAACAGAATATTTCTGGTTGTTTGCTTTGTTCTTTACAGAAATGTTCCGTGGTGGAATGGGAGCAAACATGGAAAGAGAATTTGGTCGTGGTGACATGGCATTGAACCGTGGTTTTGGAGAGTCTTTTGGAAGGATGGGTATGGTAACTGTTATATTTTCTGACATAGTATTGGAAGAATTTTGCTAGGAGACCTTTTATGGTTTCATTTGGTCATCTATCCCTTCACCCCATGTCATTACTGTAAGGATGTAATCTGAGTGTTCATTACAGCCACCACTTCAGACAGAGGTTCAGGTGTGGAGGGGTTTTTTCCCTCTGTAAAATATAAATGGAATAACTATTTGAGGAAAGCATTTACCTTCATTCTGTTTATTTTGTGGAGTATTAAATCTTTGGAGTGTTGAAATATATGCTTCTGATAATCCTGAGCAAGCTGTCCATATACAGCCTTTGTAACTTCCATGAGCCTGTTTTGCAAATGCATGGTGTAATACTGTTTTTACTTCAAATCAGGTAGCATTGGACCGGAGTATTGAATTTTGATGCCCTCAGTTTTTGTCCTGCCTTCTGAGCTCATACAGCTCAGAATGGTATTTATTGGTCTCTTCTGTAACTGAGACAGCATTATTTTGTTTATAGATGATATCTTGTTGGCAGTGGGGTTCCCTTGAATGAGTTACTCTTCCATCTTCAGAGGTGTGGAAGAGTTCAGCAGTAGAGCCTTTGTTACTATGCTGTTATCTGGATGAATCACAGAATTCCTTAGGCTGGAAAAGATCATAGAGTCCAACCTTCAACCCAACACTGCCAAGTCCACCACTAAAGCAGGTCACCAAGAGCTATGAGCTCATGTCTCTTAAATCCCTTCAGGGATGGTGACTCCACCACTTTGTTGGTCAGACTGTTTATATGATTGACAACTCTTCCTGTGAAGCATTTTTTCCTAATATCCAATCTAAACCTCCCTGGTTTAACTTGAGGCTGTTTCCTCTTGTTCTATTGCTTGTTACTTGGTAGAAGAGACTGACCCCCCCATGTCTTTGCAACCTCCTTTCAGGTAGTTATAGAGAGTAACTACCCTGAGTTCCTGAGAGTCCCTGAGTCTCTTCTTCAGGCTGAGAACTCCAGCTCCCTCAGCCATCCTTCATAAGGCTTGTGCTCCAGAGCCTTGATCAGCTTTGTTGCCCTTTTCTGAACACACTCCAGCACCTCTATGTCTTTCTTGTAATAGGCCTGAAACTGAGCACAAAATGCATTATAGGGGACAGCTGTTCTTCTTCTCTGTTTCCTGTATTTTCCCATTCGCTTAATTCACCTCCTTGAAAGAGAAGAACTGCTAAGAGCATAAAGTTCATCTGGTCTAAAAGTTGACTTACCTTTTAAAAAAATTTATTAGTTGAAGCAAGTCATAGCAAAGAGTAACTGTTGTGTGCTTCTCTTCAATACTGGCAATTGTGTAGAAGTGGTTAGAACATAATAAGCGCATCCTTTGAGCTAGTCTTAATGCCTTGGAATGAATGTCTTAGAAAACAGAGTGAACGCTTTCACTCTGGCTACTTGCATAAACATCTGTTTCCTGAGTGAAAATGCAAGGCCACTTCAGTTATAAATGTTTCTGCAAGCAGTAGGTTTCTGAGTCTTCTGGTAACACGTTGGTTTAGAAATTTGTGAACATGGCTACTGTGAGAAACTAATGTGGGTGTCTTTCATTCAGTAGATCCAGCAAGCTTCAGTTTACAATCTTATCAGTGATCTGACCATTTGAATAGTATCCTGAGAACCAAGATCAGATTCCCAGCTTAACCTTAAGTAGTGGAAGGAAATTGTAGGGTCTTTTAATAGATACTGTGTTTGATCGGGAAAGGCCCTAATGTACTCCTGTTACAATATTTAGGGTAATGGTATCTTAAAAAGAAATACTGTGAAGGCATTTGGTTTTAGTAAGCTTGAAATCAAGGAAGGCGTCTTTGGTTTGGCTATAGTATCAGAGTAGAATTGAGGATATTTGATTTGCAGCAGAATTGTTGACTTTTTATACTGCCAAGTTCATATAGGATGAAGCCTTGAGTTTTGAGGTTGTTCTTTCTGATGTAGGAAATGGCCCATTTAGTTCTACCATGTTTGTGCTGCTGGCAGGCTGTCAGAGGGGAGAAAAGCTAGAAATAAATCAGAGTAGCTTAAATCCTGTAGTAGAAAAGGAGAAACTAATTTTACTTACTAGATGTTCCTATTTAGCTTGTTTAGTAAAGGCACGTGTTAAAGTGCCCTTATAGAAAAATATAGCCAGGTAACATTGCAAACAGTGCACTTCATTAGTGTGTGCTTTGCTTTTTTTCACTAACTGGTGGTTTCAGTGTATGTCACTTCATTATTTTTCTCTGTTTAGGTGGTGCAATGATTGGTGTTTTTGCAGGAGGAATGGGAGCACCTAGCATGGGCCCAGTAAGATCTGGAATGAGTAGGTTAACTTGTTTCAATAGAACATAAATGCACAGGCAATGTATCAATACGGTGTACACCTACTTGTATCAGAGGAACTTGCTGCAGTGTAGTGTCTTGCTGTTGATGGGAGTAGAACTCTGTTGCATGTGACAGGTCTAACAGTTTTCAAAGCTGTTTTGTTGAGGTAAAAGTTCAGAGGAAAGCTAGCTAATACGGTCTTTCCCTTAATCTTAGATTTGGAATAGTTTCAACATCTAGTTTGGAGAGAGATGTGATTAAAGCAAACTTGTGCTTCAGAAAAAAGACAGGCAGAGTTACTTGAGTAAACTTCATGAATCTCAGTAGTCTGGCATCATTGAAATAAAAAATCAGTCTTGAATTTCAGATTATTACCCAGTTTAATTTTTTGCAAAGCTCCACTACTGAGTTTGTATTGCAGCAACTCTTGAGTTCCTCAGGCTAGAGCAGATGAGAAACTAAAATCTTTCTAGCACCAATCTTAGAAGATATAAGGCTTAAAAAGAGGGTTCTTCATGAATTATATTGATAGTTTTACTGTACATTAATTTTTAATTATGAATACAGAAATATTACTCAAATGCTATTGCTCTTTGTTCCGTATATAAAATAAATTAATATATTTTATTCCATGTATGTATTTTTTATCGGGGTTTAAACCGTGACACATAGGAAAGCTCTTTACAGTACTTGCAGTAATTTCTGTTCTCGGCCAAAAAAACCCAAAACTTCTCTAGAAGATTTTGTAATTAGGTGTGGGTATGGTTGCATTAAGTAAAGCTGAATATAAATGCAGAAAGCCAAATAAACAGTAGCGTGTCTGGTCAAATTATCTGTATATATGTATTGCCACAGTTACGTATTTGATCTTTTTGGTAAAGGGTATCATATTTTTATTAATTAAACAAGACTGACTTTAAATATGTGTTCAACATTTTGCTACATTAGATGGTGTGACTAATAGCTTGATGCAGTTTGGTTTTACTATTATTTTAGAACTGACACTCTGTATCTTGTAATACTTTGTCTTAAAATACTAGCCGTGCTCCTCAATAAAACACTGTGCATGTGTAAAAGTTAATGTTTATGTTACAGCAGTTTTAATAAAGTTATTCTTCTCCTGGCACAAGAACTTTATTTTATACCAAATACTTGTGTGTTTATTATTAAAAGGAGATTTTATTTTATCCTCTATTTCTTTCTCTGTGTAGGTGGTGGAATGGGTGGTATGAACAATATGGCTGGAGGAATGGGAATGGATCGGATGGGTTCCGGTTTTGATCGAATGGGACCGGCCATGGGTGGAGGCCTGGACAGGAACATGGACATCGATCGAGGATTTGTGCCTGGCCCGATGGGAGGTGGCATGAGAGAGAGATTAGGCTCTAAAGGCAACCAGATATTTGTGAGAAATGTAAGCAATTAAATATATAGAAACCACAAGCTTATTTTGTGTGTATGTTTGATTACGCACTCTTATTCTCATTGTAATATTTTGTTATCAATAATACTTTTTTATTCTAGCTTCCTTTTGACTTGACCTGGCAGAAGCTAAAGGAGAAATTCAGTCAATGTGGTATGTATATGAACCTTACCCCTGCTCATCTCCATGGAATTCATGTGCTATGTGGTGTTTATTAGATAACAACAGGAAGACTGTTGTTGGACTCTGAAGAGGAGTCTGGCTCGCTTAATCTTTCTTATTTCACCCAGCTTTCTTGAGATAGATAAATAGTTTTTAGGCATGCCCAAACACAAGACCAAGGTACAGTGTGGGATGTGTTGGCTTTGAGTGCTCACTTGCTATAAACTTTAACCTAATCCGTTAATAAAATTACTCTTTGAAATTTTTCTCTTTTTTTGACATATTCCTTGGCTAGTAAAAGTCTATAATGTAGTGTTTCCTATGAGATAAATACATGCAGGAGCCTGGGTCTGTCCACATCATGCATTACTTCAGAAATAGTGCTGCATCGAATCAGAGTTAGTAATTTTGCCGGTGTAGCATTACAGGTTTTCTTATACATACAGGTGATCCTGATTAGCATATTTGCAGGTTATAATGTTCCCCTTTATCTTAAGAAATAAAGGTTTGCTACAAATATTCAATAATTGTTTTTATCTGATTCAGAAAAGTTGGTCTTTTCACAGAAATAAGTGAAAAATAAAGCTTGGGTGTAGAAATACATGACATGTTTTGAAAACATTTTCAGAATGGAGAGCTTTAACTGAATTACAGGATGACTTCTTATTTTAGATAGACAGAAAAGATAAATAATTTAAAACATACTACTGATGCCTAAGACAGTCATCATGCAGCTGTGTACAGATTTGATATAAATTAGACCTCGCAGTTCAACTGTGAAAAATTACAAGGTGTTGATGTTTTTTTGTAGATGGAGGATATAGCACAACAGGTTCTTTCTTTTAAAAAGTCTCTTAACCTCCTGGGCAACTTTGAGATAGTTCAGAATTTTTTTTTCATTATCTCTGTTTGCTAATGGATGTAGTAGTTATGTTCAGTTGCTTTTAAGAATTATAAGCAACAGATTGTGTTCATGTCAGTATCATAAGGAAATACAAAGACTGTTTCCCAGTATTCAATTTCTTTCAATGAAAGGCCAGTCTTACGTGATATTTAAAAATAAAAGTATTTTTTACTTTTACTTTGTATTTCAGGGAAAAGTTTTTTCTTCCTAGTGACATTCAGGGGGCTCAGGAGGGGTGTGCTACAACATACCATAAACAAAAACTCATTAGCTCCAGGGAATTGAACATTCTTAGAAGTAACAAGAGATCTTTATAAGAATATTTCCTTGTGAGTTGAGTGTCCAACCTCAAGGAAGCTCAAAGCAGGAATTGAATAGTGCATGCTACTTTTCCACCACTCCCAGCCTGGTCTCTATTGTTTTAAAGGCTTTAATTTTGCTCAGCAGTTCCTTTAAAAAATTGCTTGTGACTATTGCTTGGTATGTTTTTGTGATGAACATGGTGGACTGGATTAAGCTACAGGTTGGATAATGCCTATCAATACTCACATTTCTTTTAGTATGAAACACAAACCTTTCCTTGAGTCTTACAGGGCGCTTTGTTTCAAACTTGAGGTCAAATACAGGCGTACGTCAGGAAAGATTGGAGATAACAGATCTGGATTTGGATTCTTTCCTGCTGTTTTGTCCCATGTCACCTTGCCTGAATGAATGAATGTACCATCAATCTGAAAGTGCCAATTTCATATGTTCCCCTAGGTTATACTTAATGGGGTTTCTTTAATCACTTCTGAGTTCTTTAAGTTGTTAGTACACTGAGGACTTGAAATAACTGCTGTTTAACTTATTTATTCAGGTCATGTAATGTTTGCAGAAATAAAAATGGAGAATGGAAAATCAAAGGGCTGTGGAACAGTCAGATTTGACTCACCAGAATCTGCTGAAAAGGCCTGTAGGATAATGAACGGCATAAAAATCAGTGGCAGAGAAATTGATGTCCGCTTGGATCGCAATGCGTAATTTAAAACTGTGTGTTCAGGAACATTCCTATGTCTGTTTAGCTTCTCTATCTTAGTAAGTCATTTTTAGTAACATTGTATGCTTACAAAAGCTGTAAAAAGGAACTTTTAAATCCCACCAGCCTTTAACAGTATAGTGTTTAATATACTGTGATACTTGTTAACTGAATCTTACTATGTTTGGTTTTTAAAGACAATTTGCCTGATTTTTGTTGTTTTTTTAGAGGCACTGAGCACCTGCAGGTCCCTATAGACTGTGGATGCTTTGGATGCTCAGTGCCTTTGGAAAATTAGGCCAAGTGTCTCTAGTCATTCAGTTTAAATGAATGGTTATACTGTTTTTAATAAAATAAGCCATTTTCTCTGTTAATCTCCAGATTGCATAGTGGGATTTATTTAGTGTTTTCTGACCTTTTTTTTCCCCCTCCAATGTGTATCAACATTGTAATGTAAAAAGTAGATGTCTTTTTCAGCATTTTGGTTTTATATGTGTGTTGTAGTCATACTGTAATTCTTGACTCTAAAAGAAAGGGCTCCAGTTAGGCTGTGATGTTTTTGTTCTACTTAATATTACTTTAATGACATGATTTAGTTCTGTATATAAGATTTAGAGCCCAATGGGAGTTTGGAGTTGTTTTTTTTAATTTTATTTTGACTAAATGAAGAAACTGATCTTTTTTTCCTGCTTTTATTTTTTTTCATCAGCATAATCACTGATTAAAACTAGTTACCACAGACCCTTGTAGGATTGTTTCCTATGATGCCAAGTTCATATAAAATTGATAATACAGTAAATACTAAGTACAGGACAAAACAAATAGTTCCCAATTTTTTATCTATTTTCCAGCCATTTAGGTGAACTGCCAGAAAAATAAAACCAACAGAACAGATAAGAGAAATGGCTGTGTATGTCAGACCACTGCTGTTCACTTCTATGGGTCCTGATGTATTTATGAAGGCAGTTTTTATAAACCAGGGTATTCCCAAGCAGAGCATGTCAAATACATTGGATCCTACAATGTTAGACATAGCCATATCTCCATTTCCTGTAAAGGAACAAATACAAATAAGTTGGCTTAATTGTATTGCATGAAATTGCCAAACTGTTTTGGAGGAACAGACTGCCAGCCCTCAGTTTCTCACAGAGCACCCTTTCCAGATTTTGCATCAGAAGAACTATAGTTATGATTCTACAGAACATGGGTACCACAACCATAAAAAGTCTCCCTAAATCACCAGCATCTGCACAGTTGCACTTAAAATTAAGCTAGACAGGCTATTATAAAGTCCAGTTATGATTAAAATACCGAGACCTACAGTTGCATTCTGCAGTAAAACTGTAATACTTAATCAACAACAAATAAACCAATCTCAAATACTTCTCTGAGATACTGTGAGAAGTTTTTAAATGTCTGAGTCACAGCTTTTTCAGGTAAGCTATTTATTTATTTTTAGTAAACTTAAGCTCTAGAATCTGGAGCACAAATTTTGAGGTAACTCCTTGAATTTATCAAAATATTGACTAGAATTCTTTTTTTTGTAGTACCTTTTAAACACATCCATTGGCATGAGCCTAAATACTAAAATCTTTACCTTTTCGAGCCACCAGCACACTTGCAACTGTATCTGGCACACTTGTTCCTGCTGCAAGTAATGTGAGACCCATTACTGACTCCGGGATACCCAGCGTTTCACCTGCAGTTGAGAAATAACAGTAGAAAATACAAGTGTGATTTTAGTTTGGGTTCATCCAAAGAAAGTGCTTTGGACTTCGTTTGCTGGAGAAAAAATCAGTAATCATACAGTAATTTCAAATGAAATGTGTGAGCTAACTTAACTACATGTGAGGTGACTGAACCACAAAGCAGTTAAAGAGTAACAACAAATACCCTTTCCTTGTTCTTCAAGTCTGCAGTGGTCAAGACAACAGCAGTTATGATTTTTTTCTTGCAGATAAGGTAAAAGTTTTAATATCTATCAAATGACTACTCTTTTTTTCAGTTTTGCGCATGTCCTTGTTAGTGTTCAAAAGTCTCATGAAGCAATAACTCTTAGGATCATTCTTTTTAATCCCCTTGGGGGAGGGGAAAAAGCACATGAATTTTCTTGGGGAGGACAGTCATTAAGATATTATGAGAGTACTGTCTCAACTACATGCCTACTACTTTAAGAATTAAAGTACAGGATTTTTATATGACTTGTAAGTACAAGTAACCCCTTAGAAGTATGAGTTCCTTTAGGGAAATATTTGTTTAAATTTAAAAAAAAAAAAAAGTTTTGTTATTAGAAAGGCAACTTGTTTTTCCCTAATCTCTGTTTTTCTTAGCCCCAAATGTTCTGTAACCATATTTCTAACGTAAAATACAGGGATTCTTCAAAACCGTTTTAGCAGTTGTACCATTCAGAAGCATCAGTATGCTGAAGTACTTGATACCTCTAGTCAAGCTACAAATAAATTAATTTTTCTTAAACTTTTTTGTTCTCTAAAAAGTATCTTAATATTTTTATTGTTGAAATCTGAGTTCTTACTTGAAATATTTTGACACATTTAATAAGAGCAATTTTATTTAAATAAGAGGCAGTACGCTAAGCTAGGTCAGCAATGCTTGTCTATTACTTACCAGCTTAGTCTAGAGCAGCCCAGTAAATTTATGTTTGAAACTTAGTTATTTTCAGAGGGACTAACATTATCCTGTTGCAGAATTTGTACTCTCTTTATCCTTCCATTACTTCTAATAGATTTGTAGGATGAGGGACCAACAAATCAGCTTTTATAAACCATCCAGGCTGGAAAACAATGGTTCAAACCAAGTTGAAATATGAATGAACCAGCCTTACATACCCAACATTAGTTTCTAGCCCTCTGAAGGTTATAAGACAGAATATAAACTCAGGAGAAACTATTTTTTCTTTTTCTTAGCTAGATTTATCTTCTATTTAATGTGTAGTGGTTTATTTTTTTTTATGGCAACTGACCATAAAGACAAAATAGTCTTATTTTTCTAGGCTTTTGTTAATTTTGTGTATCAATGTGTTGTTATAAGTAGTTGAATTTTCTTTGCCAGCAGCAGAAAGATGTACTAAGTTAGGTTTGTTCTTGATCATCCCAGTTTAGTGCCCAGCTATGACACCTTTGTGACATTTTGACAGGCTGATTATGCAATGGTGGAGCCTGAGTCAACCTTCATGGGAGCCTGGACTTGAATATATTGTGTGTTTAACTTGTAGTGTTTTAACATGTAAATAGAATATAATTTACCTAGAAGTAGTGGGCCAAAGATCCCAATACTACCTGTGATGACTCTTGAAAATGAACTAATACAGTCTCTGAATCTCCACCATACCTACTTTCATATGAATTAATGCATTGTCTTATAGAACAGCAATAATGTTGATTTGAATCCTGTTTCAAAGGTTTTTAGCATCCAGACAGTGAACCCTTGCTCATTAGGTACAAGTAGAAAATTATTTAACCAAGGGGTTAATGTGGTGGGTATAATATCCAGCAATCTACTAGTAATTTCTCAAAGGTTTACTGAATGTGTAGGTCTGTTTCTGCACTGAACAAGGAGTTATTAATATCTGAACTAGTAGAATGCTTGAGTAGGATTAGTGAGCTATAATGTAAAAATGGCAAGCTTTGAGAAATTTCTGTGGAGTTTTAATTTTGTTTTCTGCTTGTTCTTAAAAACTGGATGTCTTTGAAGCTGACTGGAGAAACAATGAAATGAGATTTAATAGCTCAAAGTAATTTTAGGAGAAGGTTTTTGCATACAAGTTCATACTCCTTCTCTCACTCAAATGCAATCCTTTTACTGCCCCACTTTATGATGCAGATTTGTAAGAGGTCCACATACACATACTCTGAGAATGTTTAATAAACACATTTGAGAAGCTTTTTGGCAGTTAATTGAATGCCAAGTCTCTTACTATAACATTTATGAAAAACACAAGGTGTAGAAATTACAGATTTTTTCCAGTCTTAGAGGATTTCATGTTTGTCAGCCTTCAGCATGGCAAGTTTATTGCTGTGTGTCTAATTGTTTTGCTTAATGAAGCAGGTTAGTGAAACTGTGTTTTTAAAAATAGACTGGGTTTTTTGTAGCTACATAAAGTTCTCATTCATGTGATGATAAGCAGTGTGAAGCAGCTAAACTCAAAAGTGTTCCGTCATTGGATAGAAGAGTGTGGCAAATGAAGCAGTCAAGTTTCTGTTGTTTTTCTTTGCTGTGTTTTTTTACAGCACAGTCTGAGTTGCTAAACTAACTTTTAAAGGGAAACTCAGAAGTTTTTCAGTGATTCTTGACTGATATAGCAACACCATTTTGGGTACCTACCTGCTATTGTCACCATCCATACAAGAACATAAGTTATTGCAGAAATCCATGCTGCTGAAATTAAAAATGTCACCATGAACCAGTTCCTCCAAAACTGTCTTCTGCAATCTGGTATAGTTAAATAGAGTAGTGTGATAATAGGAAGGGATAACACCCACAAAATTCTCTTCATATCTGCTTCAGGCATGGTGAAGACATTTGGATGATCTGTTAAAGAAAAAGTAATTTTTAACTTGTAGCATTAAGTTTGAATCCATAGCATACGGTATATTACTATCCTTGTGAAAATACTGAAAAAAGGTGAAAAATACTTCTCCCTCAGGTTTCAGCTGTAGTATTACCCAGTACCTACATATCTCTGGACAAAATTCTGAAATGAAGGTTACACTGGGATGATTCTGCTTGTACACAAGAAAAGCATTTTTTCACAATGAGAATAATCACCAGTAAAAAAATCTCCCCAGGAAATGGTGATTCCCCAGTGTTGCACATTTCTAAGATTCAGCTGAACAGCTGCTGGCCCATCTGGGACCATGCTTCTGCCAGGAAAGTTTGGATGAGATGGTCCTTGAGATCCCTTTCCAGCCTAGTATTCTATGATTAAAATGTTTTTTATTAGATCACCAGGGGAGAACTAAGGTGGGTGAAAAATGGATTTCTTTATAAGGGTTTACCCATAACATTTACCAAGTACCAGCTGCTATTTTTTGCCTAAGAGGAAACATGACCACATGTGGCCACATCACAGCTATCCCTTTACTTCTGATACTATGTATATTTTGGGCTACAAACCTGCCATTATCATAAGGAAACAGTGTATGTTAGTACAGTACCTGTGTGGCTTTCAGGTGATAGTGCATTTTACAAACACTGTTGCTGAGAAGTTTCAAATACACACATCAAAGACAGAAGTTCTACCATGACACAGATAAGCAACTATCCTTGCATTCCTCTAGCAACTAACTTCATATGAAAACTATCACTATGATTTTGCTCAGTGTTATATTCCAAGTTATAATGATGATCTACTTGA